CAGTCGGAAAGGACATTTCCACTGAAGCTGCAAAAAGGCTGACAGATCCTCATTCAGCTCCTCCGCCCATGGCACAGCCGGCACAAAATCATTGGTGAAATCAGCCACAATCTGAGTCGTTGACTCAGGCAAGTCCACTGTTGTACCAATTGCCATGACGCGATATTGTTAGTTCCGTTTCGAAAGTACAAACTGCTCCATCAACGGGGAAACCAGAGTTCAAAACATATAACTTCTGCATCACACCAATATCCCAGTCTACCTCGTGGTTCAAGTTACACGTCGTCAAAGGAACATTACCTTGGGCATAAGTAATCCTGTTTTTCTAGGTTGAATTATAACGTGATGTGTCTCTTTTCCTCGTGCTCGTATCTTCGTCTCGGCAGCTAAATTCAATTTATTGCAACCCTTGAAATCTGTCGTCGGGAGGCTTATCCGAACTTGCACTGGGAGAAAAAGGTGATGCGATTTTTCAACAGCTAGGTATATAAGCTCGGTAAATGATACATCATAGAGAGCAAAGCATTCAGAGTCGAAACAGGCATCATAGTCGCAAATTGGAAAATAAGACAACAGTATCGCGGAAAAATTGCTCATCGGATCGAAATATAACAGCATAAAAAGCAAGGCATTACTCCCATATATTGCGAAGATGAAACTTTTATAACACTGTCTCCCAGAGGTGGGAAGTGCTTCATTTCCCATCATATACTTGCTCAGGTGTCAGTGTAAATTCTCCTTTCGACAGGTGCTCCGGTTCAACGTGGTCTGGTTTTATATAACGAGCGGTCAGAGCGAAGCGTAGCTTTTTGTCTGGAGTCACCGCATGCTATCGAAGAATCAGTATTATTTTCTTTATAATGCGCGGCTTTGGAATCCATCTACCTCATAGTATTTCTGAAGGTTCTCGCCGTGCATGACTACCAAGTCCCCATGGTTGAGCTCCATCTTGATACCTATGGGAGCCTCTCCGCGTTTGCCCTTCTGCAAGACCTTGCGCCGTAGACTGTCGTATGTTGTCTGGTCAATCTCACCGTTGGCCAGTTGACTCTTCAGGCACCGTCGTTCGGCTTCCATTCTACAACCCACCAATACGGGGTCATCTTTCAAGAGGGTCTTGGTTTTCGACAACCCGTTGTAGTATTTGTACTTCATTCGAATTGACATGACCGACTTGGCACCCAGAGAAAGTGTGGCAATCGTTGGTCCGAGAGACGACTCCCCATCGTCATGATACTTGGGTGGCATCAGCAACGCGCTAGGCTCAGACACGGCATTCAACATACACCAATCTTCATGTCTTCAAAATAACCCAGCATGAGTAGCTCATTTGGCGGAAGGAAGGTGTCTCCACTGCCTGCTACAGCTCGCTCAGTGGCCCACGTCAAACGACCCAAGGCCCGCAGGATCTCATCCGGAGCATCAGTGAAGGGCCTGGAATCCACTGAAACAATATATTTGTATGGCATCCCCTTCGAGAAAGTTCAGCGTTGTAAGATGACAGAGCACACCATGGGCAACTCACGTAATTGACAGCAAAGTGTGCGGTGAGGGTTCCTGCGACTGAAGATCTGTTGATCAGAAGAACAAGGATGGTCTCAGAGGAGAAAGTCCACTCGCTTACCAACACTCTGCTGTAATGGGTAACGACGCAGCCCGAAGTCAGAAACCTGCAGCTGTCGTAATAGATCGTTTGGTCCGTTGGGACGACTGCTGATTATTCTGTTGGCAACAAAATGAGTAATGCTGCCTACACCTGGAATTCGGTAGGTCAGCTTTCTGTACGGAAAAAGTATCTCATCGTCAATGTCTGGTACGGCAAATTTGGAGTCAAAATGACAAGCACGTTTGTTCGGCCCAAGGCCAAAGTCATCAATAACAGATCGTAGAGAAACCGGCTGCACGGTCAGCATTCTCTCGAATGTGCAGCTTGTCTCCCCTTTTCCCGAGATCAGACTGAGCTCATCTGTGCATTTCCAACCGTGCCAATATTTTCTGGATATGCACTTTTGGCAACGTGGGCAGACAATGCCCTTCCACGCAATCCGAGAATAGCTGACGCCTTCTCCTTCTTCTTCTAGCGTTGGTAGCAGGTCGGGTACCAGATCGTGGTGTGGCACTACCTCAGGAGCAGGAGGAGATCGGTTCTGGAGGAAGTTGAGATGGAACGTAAGGTCCAGAGGGGGTTCGAAGCCGTTGATAGTCCAGAAGCTGTCGCAGATGGGCTGCAGGCACATCCAGCCTTCATTGTATATATGTGGACTTGCTGTCTGGCAAGCGGCACAATGGTAGACCTTGGCCAGAATCTTAGGGCGCTGACGATATGGAACAGGAGCGGCAGAGCCTTTGGCTGCCCACCAGCTCTTTGTAGTGAGGTTCAGCTTCTCAAAGCGAACCTTGGCTCCCACTTTGCCTCCGATCCTCTCGTACCAGACGTTCGTAACCCGGAAGTAATCCATTACGTTGTATCGGTGTGGTAGCTTTCTTCCAAGAAGTGTGTTGCGATCTCCTAATAGTCAAATCAGAGAAGGAAGGGTTACTCTGGCGGAAGAAGAAGATTCACCTATGATAAGGCCCACTGGAACCTTCGAGTTCATGCTATTAATCAGACTACTGACAGCACTGTCCTCGCTGCCTTGGTCTTTAACGAGGATGAGGCTGCCCTCTGCATCCTTAGTGCACCCTCCTCCACTAACATTGTTAGATACGCCACGTACGAATGCCTTAGAATCAGGATTGCACTTACACCCTTGTAACCACCACCTCTTCATCGATGTATGAGCGAATCCCACAGTCAGCGTCCAGCAAGAAACCCCAGCACAGATGGTCACAGTGGTAAGAACCACCTTGAACAGCGCGGAACCAGGGGAGAGCATCACATAGCTCTGGACGGCACTTGAAGACCGGTCAGCCAATGTTCCAATAGGCTCTGTTATTACAAACCTCAGCCCATGCGGGAGGCTGGCCATCGACTGGTTCCGTAGCACCATTTGCTGTAATGATTTGCGGGGTGGCACTAATAGGTGAGACTGGTAAAGGTCAGATATATATGTGAAAGACCACAAGGACGCCGAGAACAGCGCAACAGGAGGCTGGATGAATTGGACTCGTTACCTGCTGAGCGAACTTTCCGTATGCGACCCGTCCTCACAGACTTAGACTTGGGTGCTGGAGCTCTGGCCGGCCTGCTTGGGCTCATGCTATATTGCTTTGTAAAATTGGATGCTTTTCACTGAGAGACGGAATGGATCTGGCTTCTATAAGAGGAACTGCATGTAGAATTGCGTGGCGCTCACTCCAGCTTCTAATGATTCTAGCAGAAACCGGGGGTAGATTGACGTCATAAATGTATATTTCAGGCTGGCACCTGAGCTGTCTTTGGAATCTTCGAACTTCGATGAGCAGAAATCGAGTATTCCCGAGATAGGCAGAGTGAGGATAGGAGATTTGAACTAAGTATATAGAAGATAGTAGCCGGTCAGGCCCAGCTCGCAATTGAGAAGTCCCGGGACGGAGACGAGAAGCTGACAGTTATCAAGTAAGCGAGACAGATTGCTTTCCTAAGTCTGTGAAGAGTATATAGTTGATGTTTCCTTCGTTGAATCTGATAGAATCTGCTAAGCTGCGGCGTGAGGGATAAGAAGATGAGAGAGGAAGACAGAGCTATTCTCTTCCTTGGGATTTTGAATACTGACAGTCACGAGACTGGCGCCTTACCCTGAGTGGAAAGAGGCAGGAGGAAGGTAACTGATGTTAATGCAGTCTTTACTTCATAGGAAGATTAGCAATTCTCTTTCAATGAGCCTAGGAAAGAATATTAGGAAGAGAAGAGGCTTAATTAAGAGGTAGTATTTCTGCAGAGTAGTCATGTTTCCGAGAAAACTTTCTAATTCCAGCTCCATGGAGTTGTCAAGATTACAGCTCTTGTCATAGACCGCAATGAATCGATTGCTTCATGATGACTACTAACGCACAACCTTGTGCTCGAGAACCACTGGTTGAAGTAGGCCACGGAGAGAAAGAACATCTCAATATTAATTCTATGATCAGGAGAAGTAGTCGTTGAAGTCCATCCAATGACCCCATGCCGACAGAGCATACGACATGCCTTGACGATAAGGTATATGTCGCTGATCAACAGTGTTGATGTGGGATTCTTGGTAGTTGGAGGAGGATATATTTTTCTATGGGCTTTGGTTTAATTCAAAATTATGACTTGTGCAATAGCAGAAGCTAATACTAGTACATCTTTTTGTTTTTTCAGAAAAAGAAAAGCCACAACTGCCTCATGTTCTCGTACTACAAGTTCATAACTGTAGTTGTTAAGCACCTCTCCTGGCCGTGGATCTGTAGATCCGTGAGCTAAACTGTGCCTGTGCGGGCTAGTACTAGTTAGTACTAAGTTAAATGAAGTTACTGTGGACCCTTCAAGCCACCGCACTTTCAAGAGTCCGAGTTGGACTCTTGCTCTGTCCAGATTTTGGAGATTTCCCTCGGCTGTTTTTCGTCCGCAGACTGCGCAGAGAGTTTCCGTTGATGCAAGCTCACGTGGGATTGGGATCCCTGTATGCTGGCAGAAAATTGGTCATATCTGCATGATATACATTTTGAACAATAAATGTAAAACATCACTACCGATAATTGAATAGAAAGGTTGTTCATCAGCCTCGTGTTCATGCCTATATCTATATCGGCGGCAAGGTAACACGGGAGGAGGCCAGTGAACCGAACACACCGAACTAGCAAAGTAGCATAGAAGCTTTCCCCGCAGTGCCACCAAAAAGGCCGGAGTCAAGTACTTAAAAAATGATGACCTCCCCAACTGCCTGGTTACGCCCAAAGCTGTTGACTCCCCTGAGTTAGACTAATCAGTAACCAGTTAACTAATCATTATTACCGAGGACTCCCTGCTTCAGCCCTCAAATCTCTTCTCTTTTTCCTTATCTTCTCTCCCTTCTCCAACCTCCCGCAGGTCACGTAGGTTACTGAAGCAGACAACCATGGTCTTTCTCCCATCAGCCACGGCGGGCGAGCTGGCCCCAATTCCCGATAACATTCCTATCAGCGAATTTATGCTGAATGAAAAATATGGCCGTCATCCTCTTGGCCAGTCGAGAGATCCGTACTCCTGCGGACTCACGGGGAAATCCTACTCTGTCCCTCAGGTTGCTGAGCGCGTCGACCTTCTGTCTCGGGCGCTCGCCAAAGAGTTGAACTGGGCACCTAACAGCGGTACCGAATGGGACAAGACTCTGGCAATTTTCAGCTTGAACACTGTAAGTGATTTGATCTCAGATCACCCAGGAATCGCCAGTATTAATCATGGATTCCTGGCTGTTCTAGATTGACACGCTGCCCTTATCCTGGGCTGTCCACCAGCTTGGCGGCGTCGTGTCACCGGCCAATGCGGCATATTCGGCGGACGAGTTGAAGCATCAGCTGCTTGACTCCAAGGCAAAGGCGTTGTTTACCTGCGCTCCTCTGCTTCCTACATCTCTGGAAGCCGCCGCAATGATCGGCTTCCCGAAGGATCGGATTTATTTGCTGGAAGTACCGCCCCAGGTCGGCGGAGGTAAGGAAGCTGAATCGGGCTTCAAGACCGTGTCTCAACTGATAGAGACCGGGAAATCGCTCCCCAAAGTGGAAAGGTTGAACTGGAGCGCAGGTGAAGGTGCTCGTAGAACCGCTTTCCTGTGTTACTCCAGTGGAACGTCGGGTCTGCCTGTAAGTAATCGAAATCTCACTGTACAACCCGACTACGCTGACCTTTCATTTCATTTTTAGAAAGGAGTTATGATCTCTCACCGCAATGTCATCGCGAATACCTTGCAAATTACAGCCTCCGAGAAAACATGGCGGGACTCCCTGAGTCTTACTGGCGGATCAAGATACACCGATATTGCGCTGGGTCTTCTGCCCTTCAGTCACATTTATGCGCTGGTGGTTATATGCCATGCCGGGCCTTTCAGAGGCGATCAAGTCATTGTCCTGCCGAAATTCGAGCTCAAATCGTATCTCTCTGCAATCCAGAAGTTCAAGATCACGGCCCTCTTTCTGGTAAGTGGCACCAACTCGCAGAGCACGATAGAGAAAATGCTGACCGAGTATACCTTCTCTAAGGTCCCTCCAATCATTATTACCATGCTGCGAAACCAGGATGTGTGCTCCAAGTTCGACTTGAGCTCGGTCACGACGCTGTTCACAGGTGCAGCACCCTTAGGAATGGAGACGGCGGCCGATTTCAAGAAGATATATCCGAAAGTCACAGTTCGTCAGGGCTACGGTAAGCATTGACTCGAATCACAGCGCAATACGTTCGGAATCTCTAACCCCGACAACGTAGGTCTTACTGAGACGTCGACTGTCGTTTGCTCGACCCATCCCACAGACGTATTCCTCGGCTCATCCGGTATCTTGCTTCCTGGGGTCGAGGCACGCATCATGACCCCTGAGGGCAAGGAGGTCACCAGCTACGACACACCTGGTGAACTCGTCGTGCGCAGCCCAAGCGTGGTTTTGGGTTACTTGAACAATGAGAAAGCTACCAAGGAAACATTCGAGGACGGATGGATGCGCACCGGTGACGAAGCTGTCGTTCGAGTGAGCCCGAAGGGTACGGAACATATCTTCATCGTCGACCGAATCAAGGAATTGATCAAKGTCAAGGTCTGTCAACCCCTGAGATGTATATCTTGGCTAGCACTCAGTTTCGATTGACTAATACATCGTAGGGCCTACAAGTCGCTCCAGCGGAGCTAGAAGCTCATCTCCTCACCCACCCAGCAGTCGCAGACTGCGCCGTGATCGCTATTCCTGACGAGGCCGCTGGTGAAGTGCCCAAAGCCATCGTGGTCAAGTCAGCCTCCGCTGGCAATGACGATGAAGCTATTATCAAATCTATCAAGAAGCATGTGGAGGACCACAAAGCCAGACACAAATGGCTCAAGGGAGGAGTCCGCTTCATCGATGCAATTCCCAAGAGCCCAAGCGGCAAGATTTTGCGCCGATTGCTCCGTGACCAGGAGAAGGAGCTGCGGAGAAAGGCTGCAGCCAAGTTATAAATCATTCAACTGGAGTCTGATGTTTTGAATAGATAATTCCCGAAATATAGCGTGCATATTCTCGTACTATCGTATATCTATATAACACAGCAGATACTCTATGATTCTTCAGAAGTACAGTCTGCCCAATAAAAACAGCGAATAGGATGTTTGCATCGTTTGACAGGGGCGCGGGGAGAAAATCAATTTCTAAGCGGGGCGTTGACTTATCGGACAGATACTGATTGATCAGCAAGAAAAAACATTCGAAGCTCTTCTGTATAGGATTTGGAGAATCTTGTGCAGTGTGTCCTGAGAATAAGAGAGCGAAAATACCTCCCGGATCAGTATCTTTCTCAGAACCTTTTCCTTCAACCTTCCGCCCTCTTCAGAGGCCATTTTCTCTTTACTCTTTTCAAGCCCTCATCTACCTCCAAAATGTCCTCTTCACAAGACCCCCACCGTGAGGCAGACCAAGATGCCTACATTGAGGCCGACGAGGCGGAAGAAATCTTCACTCGCGATGAAGACCAGCCTATGGACTCGGATCCGGAGGACGAGGACCAAGCCATGACATACGACGACCAAGAAATTACATTGCAAAACGACTCTTCCGCTCACTTCGACGGCCACTCAGACTCCGTATTCTGCGTAGCGCAACACCCGGTTCACAACAATATCGTTATCACCGGATCTGGCGACGATACCGCCTACATCTTCGATTCGACGCCTCGCGACGAGCGGCCTGTCCTCCCCCAGAGCTACGAGTCGAATCCGCAACCAAAGGGTGAACGGACGTCGCTGACGCCTATTGCCAAGCTGGATGGGCACACGGATACCGTCAATGCGGTCACATTCACCGAACCGAGAGGAGAATACGTCGTGACGGCGGGCTTGGACGGTCGGCTGCGGGCATGGCGCGATAACTCGCCCCAGTTGACGGGACTCTCGTGGGAATTTGTCGCGGAGTCTCAGGAGGTGGAGGAGATCAACTGGGTTGCCGTTTGCCCCTGTCCCAATAACGACGAGGAGAAGCGAAATGTCATCGCTCTTGGTGCGAACGACGGCAGCGCCTGGGTCTTCCGTATTAACCACAACGATTCCGCCGAGCCCATCTCCATGATTCAGACTTTCTTCCAGCACACTGCGTCCTGCACGGCTGGTGCGTGGACTCCTGATGGTAATCTGCTCGCTACCGTCTCCGAAGACGGTAGCTTCTATGTATACGATGTCTGGGGCGCCGCCGCGGCCGCCGGTATTTCCTATTCCGCCGGTACCAGCGCTGTCGTCGGCCTGACCGCCGAGGATCAGCGCTTCGCCGTCGATGGTGGGTTGTACTCCATCGCGATCTCGCCAGGCGGTGGTATTGCCGCTGTTGGAGGAGCCGAGGGCCACATCAGGGTCGTCGGTCTTCCTCGTCTTGTGTCCGCCGGTGCCAAAGCTAGAGGGCCTGCCAACCAAGCCGCAAGTGGTGCCTCCGCTGCCGGTACGATCATGGCCTCGCTGCAGGCTCAGACCGATGGCATCGAAACGCTCTCTTTCTCCTCTCCTCCATTGACCCTTCTCGCCGCTGGCTCGGTGGACGGCTCAATCGCCCTGTTCGACGCCGCGCACCGGTTTGCCGTACGTCGGCATATCAAGGACGCGCACGAGGGCGCTGCGGTCGTCAAGGTTGAGTTCCTGCAGACAAATCTGGCCGCTCTCGCGAGTCGCCCCGCTGCTGCGGCTACGCAGGGACGCCCGTGGCTTCTCACCTCCGCCGGCATGGACGGCGTCATCAGACGTTGGGATGCTCGCGGCGGAACTGCGGCTGCAGCGGAAGGGTTATTGAAAGAGTGGAAGGGCCACTTGGGCCTCGTGGAGAATCCAGAGGGGGAGCAGTCGGGAGGCATTATGGGCTTTGTTCAAGGGTTTGATGGGAAGCGGGTCGTGACCGCTGGTGACGATGGTGTTGCGTTGGTTTTTGAGGAATAACTGGCCTGCGCTCAATAGAGTATTATATGTATAGACGGGAGAGGTAGCAGTTCATGACCCTGAAAAGTTAATGCATTTGACGACTCTCATGCTTCATCCAAGACAATTTACATTCTCGATTCGCCCGTCCGAATAGCGTTGAAGAAAGGCAACTCTACGACCATCGTAGAACCGCAGAATAGAAAAAAGATCAGCAGTTTTGGTGTCACAGAACAAACAGGATATGTACATCAGTTAAAACAATCATCCCAAGCGCCATCTCTAAGATCGAGAGCCTCATCATCCCCAACCCCGCAGCAGCAGCAGTGCAGCCTGTCTTGCCAGCTCATGCAGTCCTACGGCAATGGGGACATCCCTCTCCATGAACTTCTGCAACACGTCCATCCTTAACCGGGGTATCCGTGCTTCTGCCGCGAGTTCCATGCATCCCACATCGGGCCCATCCTCCCCATCTCATTTCCCGAAAGCACGCTTAGTGGTGTGCCTCACCGTGGTGGTGCTCATCCTTGAGGAAGAAGTGCTCGTATACGCAGTAACCGGCGAAGGCGACGCTGGCGATACCGAAGCCCGGGAAGATACGCTTAAAGCGGTTGAAGCGGCTGAAGGGGCCGGTGTATCTCCATGCTTCACTGCGGGGAGAGTTAGTAAATGGTCAATTGGGTAGTGAGTGATTATCGGAATCGTACTATCGAGCCCAGGGATCTCTCTTGGCGTAGACCGAGCGAGGGGAGGCCGCGGCCTTGAATTCGTTGATGTCGAAGCCGGTGGGGTTGGCCATGTTGGGTGATGAGGATGGGGGGAATGTATGCGGATTTGGCGGGTAGAAAGAGGGCGGAGGTGAGAGTATGTCTCCGAAGTTCCGGATGTTCGCGAGAACAGGTGAAAGTAAGGTAATTCTGAATTAGTCTCCACCGAGGAGGAACGGGAGAAGTTGAAGCTGTACAGGACGAGAGAAGAGGGCTTGGCACTCGGGCAGATGCGCTAAGCCGGATTCGGCGACCAGACCTTGTCCGCCTTTGTGGTCTTGCGGCAGCGAGGAATCTCCAGCGCGAAACTGGAACCCCATCGATTCCAACTCCTCTTGAATATCAGATGCCTGGCTACAACCCCGCGCTGCAGACGACAATATGCCACCTCCTGTCGGCAGATACGGGCCTTCTGGCCTGAGCGGTCCTTATACACATTTACAACAAGCGCATCTCCAACAACAGCAACAGCAGCAGCAACAACAGCAAGCTCAACATCATCCGGCCCATGCCCAGTCGGCCAACACGGCGCTCCCTCCTCCCTCCCTTGGCGGCCACCCTGGTTTTGCGACCGGCAACCCGAACACTAACATCAATCCTTTTACATTATCAGGGACAGGGATAGCGAACGGCATGTCCGTCGCCGGGTTTACGGGGGCTGGTGATGGAGGGGGCTCTGGGTTGGCGAGCCATGCGGCCCAGATCGGTTTCGCGAGAGGGGCACAGATGCAGCAACAGCAATTACTTCAGAGTCACGATGGACGGTTAGCTCTCGAGACGAAAGCTGGCGGCGTGAAGACTCGGATACGGGATGTATGGAAACACAATCTGGCCCAGGAGATGGCCGTGTTACGGCAGCTAGTCGAGAAGTACCCTTATATCAGCATGGTATGGCTGTCTTGGGATGGAAGCGATCTGACTAGAAGCCGAAGTACTGATCCCTCGCACAGGATACCGAGTTCCCTGGCATTGTCGCTCGTCCCATCGGATCATTTACGAATAAAGCCGATTATCACTACCAGACCCTTCGATGCAACGTTGACCTCTTGAAAATGATCCAACTCGGCATCACCTTGTTCTCAGCTGACGGGGAAGTTCCTCCGCCCAATGCTACAGATGCAAATGGACAGCCATTGGGAAACAGCCTGGTACCCGCCCCGTGCACATGGCAGTTCAACTTCCGCTTTTCATTAGAGAACGACATGTATGCGCAGGAATCAACAGCCATGCTCKCCAAGGCCGGTATTGACTTCAATATGCACGAAAAGAATGGTATCGATCCTTTTGAGTTTGGAGCCCTTCTGATCAGTTCTGGGCTCGTCCTGCTCGACGACGTACATTGGGTTTCGTTCCATTCCGGCTACGATTTCGGCTACCTGATGAAGATCATGTTGTGCAAACCTCTGCCAGAGAACGAGGAGGATTTCCACACACTTCTGAAGATTTTCTTCCCGTCGTTATATGATATTAAATACTTGATGAAACATGCAGGGCGCAATCAAGCAGTCAACGATTCGCCGCTGACTCCAGCCGCCGCACAGATCTTGACGAGCCTGGGCCAAAAGTCCGGTCTTCAGGACATTGCAGATGAGCTCGGTGTGAAGCGGGTCGGCATTGCACATCAGGCAGGGTCTGACTCACTCGTCACGGGCGAGATCTACTGGAAGATGCGCCAGCTGATCTTCAATGGCAAGATCGACGAGGCTAAGTACTCGGGGCAAATCTGGGGTCTGAACGGCCAAATGCCAGCACTGACATATCATATGCAACCTCATCAAACACCGAATCTCAACGGAGCCACTATCTACTCGGCAGCCGGGACACCGAGCACACCCAATACCGGTCGTCAAACTCCTCAACATCACGGTGTTAATCTAGGTGGTGCACTAACCCCTGGTGGTGCAGGTGGAGTCTTGGGGGCGTTTCAAACAGGGAAGGCATGAGCTTTGTTTCATCGGGTCCATACTTTGCTTCTCTTGTTGTAAGGTGTTAGATCAGGGTAGGGTTCGGAGGGAGTTTATGACATGCTTTTGCATTTGGTTTCTCCTTGGGCCTCGTTTGTCCTGTATAGGCTTCTTCCTGTTGTCTCCTGTCCTTCGGACAATGCTTTGGGTGCGTTGACCGGCGTCCACCTCTCCTTTTCCCCTTTCCTCATGGTCCATCGCTGTATGTGATGATGGCTTTCGCTTTGGTGGTGGGACATGGATTTGATACGATATGATGGATGTACATAGCTTTGTGGCACAGCTTGTGCTATCTCATTGTTATTTCTTTTTGCACTTTTCTTCCGCTATTCGATTGTCTCGGTTCATCATGAGGGTCTGTGACTTCCGGTGCCACTAGTCTGCGTTGGCAGTATTCGCGGATGTTGTATCGGTGTTTTGGTGGCGCGAATGAATCCTTTTAAGCTCCAGTGTCCTTGTCTCTTTGGTTCCCGAAACGCTCTAGATCCACGATCACGATTCCGGGGAGAGTCCGAGCTTAAATTTCTGTCCTCGATTGAGACGCAATCGCAAAGGTGGCACACGTAGCTTGGTGTCAGCTTGGCTGTGCAGGCTGTACTTTATCCGAAGTAAGGCTCCAAGATCTCCGCGAGGCCATTGGTATGTATTTGTCACCGTATTCACGATAATTGAGGAACTCTATTAGCAAATGCATCCGATATGATCCAGCGACGAGATACCCCGCTCTCTGAACGAAGCTACATACTGCAACTTGACTCGAGATGGAAGTACCAAGCCAAGCATCCCATTACCGCTTTGGGTTGAGCTACACCACATTGCACGCTATACCCGATCGGGAAACGTGATCCGGGCCTCTTATCGTGATGATAGCAGCCATCATCTATCCAGTGGTCGAGGATGAGGTGTTAATGCAATCATGCAGTTATGATTGCGGTTTATATTTTTGCTTCCCCCCTGCTAGGGAGAATCTTTGGTCTAGGTGCTTCAGTCAGGCATCTTTGCAACAGCCATATCTTATTTAAGGATATTGACAATAGCCATACTCTTTTGTTTTTATCAACATCATTGTGATATATAGTATGGTTCTTGAGCGCCTCCAACAGCTGACCTACCAGGTCGGCGCCTCTTCACCTCCACCTCATCCCTTTGACCCCCTGTCAACAAAAGAAATCGACACGGCAGTTGCCATTATCCGCAAGGAACATGGCAAGGTCAATTTCAACGCGGTGACTCTGTATGAGCCCCGGAAGGTGGAGATGATGGCCTGGCTGGCAGATCCCAAGAATGCGCCTCGACCAGCGCGTGCGGCAGATGTCGTCGTAATCGCGCCTGGTGGTAAGGTCTACGATGGCATTGTCGATCTAGATCAGAATAAGATCGTCTCGTGGAAGCATACGCCAGGTGTGCAGCCGCTTATCACGATGGAGGATTTGCAGGAGGTCGAGCATATTGTTCGGAAGGATCCCAAGGTTATCGAGCAGTGTGGGATCCTTGGAATCTCAAAGGAGGATATGCATAAGGTTTACTGCGATCGTGAGTTACTATTCCGTGATTTGACTGGCGATGAAGCGTCTCTAATTTTGGTATAGCTTGGACGATTGGCTATGATGAGCGCTTTGGGAGCGACGTCCGTCTGCAGCAGGCGCTGATGTACTACCGTCCCCATGTCGACGACTCCCAGTACACATTCCCTCTGGATTTCTGTCCGATCTACAATGCGGAGACTAAGGAGATCATCCACATCGATATCCCACCAGTACGACGGCCCATCAGTAGGGCCCCGGCAAACAACTACCACCCGGCGGCAATCGAGAAGGAAGGTGGTTACCGGACAGACATTAAGCCAATCCATATCACTCAACCGGAAGGCGTGTCTTTCAAGCTGGACGGACGAACCATCCAGTGGCAGAATTGGAGCATCCACGTTGGCTTCAACTACCGTGAAGGCATTGTGCTCAATAACATCACTTTCAATGACAAAGGAAATGTTCGGCCAGTCTTCTACCGTCTCTCCTTGGCGGAAATGGTTGTTCCATACGGTAACCCCGAGCATCCGCATCAGCGCAAACACGCATTCGATCTAGGCGAGTACGGTGGTGGATACATGACCAACAGCTTGTCGCTCGGATGTGACTGCAAAGGTGCTATCCACTACATGGACGCCGCCTTTGTCAACCGTGCCGGTGCCAGCACCATCGTAAAGAACGCCATTTGCATTCACGAGGAAGATGCCGGTATCCTTTTCAAGCACACCGACTTCCGGGACGACTCCATCATCGTCACCCGTGGACGCAAGCTGATCATCTCACACATTTTCACCGCCGCAAACTACGAGTACTGCGTTTACTGGATCTTCCACCAAGACGGCACCGTTCAGCTTGATATCAAACTAACTGGTATTCTTAACACCTACGCCATGAACCCTGGTGAGGACACCAAGGGCTGGGGTACCGAGGTCTACCCCGGCGTCAACGCCCATAACCACCAGCACTTATTCTGTTTGCGTATCGACCCCAACATTGACGGCCCAAACAACACTGTCTTCCAGGTGGATGCAGAACGAGGCCCTGGAGAAGTAGGAAGCGCGGAGAACAAGTACGGCAACGCCTTTTACGCCAAGAAGACTAAATTCACATCGCCACTGGAGGCTATGTCAGATTACAACGGCGCCACCTCCAGAACCTGGGAGATGGCAAATACAAACAAGCTGAACCCACACAGCAAAAAGCCGGTCTGCTACAAGCTCGTCAGCCGGGAGGTTCCCTCACTGCTTCCCAAGGAGGGCGGGTTGGTCTGGAAGCGCGCCGGCTTTGCCAGACACGCTGTGCACGTCACCAAATGTAAGTATCCCTTGCGTCTTTGTGCAGTCAGCCAAACTAATAGTCTATGCCAGACTCCGATGACCAGGTCCACCCTGCAGGTCGCCATGTCCCGCAGACTTCGGGTGAGCCCTCTGAAGGCCTGCCAGCATGGATTGAATCAGCGGGCCCCAACTGCTCAATTGACAACACGGATATTGTCCTCTGGCACACGTTCGGCCTCACTCACTTCCCGTCTCCGGAAGATTACCCTATCATGCCTGCGGAGCCAATGACGGTGCTCCTCCGCCCTCGAAACTTCTTCGCTCGCAATCCGGCGTTGGATGTCCCTCCTAGCTACGCCAGAACTCCTTCGCAGATAGCCGCGGGAGCAAATGCATGTTCCTGCAAGAAGAGTGATGGATCCAGCATCCAAGTTTGATGTATGATTTGCCAAATGCGTTGGTGGTTGGGTTGATCGTTTGCATTGCGGGGATGACTGTTTGCTGGCTTTGAGCGTCTTTCGAACGACTTCTGTGCACTTGTTTCTTGTATATACCATGATCCATTACAACTGAATTCATTAGTTTATGCTCATGCAAATGAGATGATGTTATTGGTTCAGTCTTAGGACGCAGCCACCCGGTCATGGTAGTCACTCCCAAGGGATATCTGGCAAACAAGCAGAGTGAATACATTTTCGGACGGTATGTACAGAGGAGACTATTGAATGAGGTCGTAGGCCATTCATTGCTGGGAATTCACTGCACCTTGGTCGCAACTTCACTGGCATAAATATTCCCTCAGCCACCCCCTTCTCTGTCGCTCATCTCATGCCTCTTCCATCCATCTTCCTTGCTATATACTTACAGTCATCAGTATGTTCTGCGATGATGGCTTGCCCATGGATCTCCTTCATCTTTGATCTCACAGACCTTCTGATTTGATTGCCTTGCAGAGGGATCAGATTCAAGTTCCACATTAGTTTTCCTAGTTCGTATACCATGAATTCGTTTCAATGGAGATCCGTCTCCCTCCGTTCACCAGTCTCAATGGATGTACCTCAACCCGTACGGCCTTGACGCTTGGTCAGCCGTCTAGTGGTCGCCGCTATCTGAAGCCTTGAGCAACTTCTTCACCTTCCTCAAATCACAGTTCAGGCCTCTCAAAGCCTAAGCGGTGGGCTTACTTTCCCTCAGGTATTACCATGGCTAATGTCAACCAGAGAATTGATAGTCTCAGGGACCGCAACTGACATCGAACCAAAGTTGGTAGAACATTGATATACACACTGGAGACATACGCTAATCAAACCGGTTTTAGAGAAAGAGGGCAAACCCGCCAGGATCTGTCCGGGCGACCCAGAAAGGAGGTCAGGATCGAGGGCCCCGAGAAAGACCCCTTATTACGGAGAAGCAACTCATCTGGAGATGAGATCTTCATTGCGAAATCAGGTATGTATTTCCTTGTTTTGCGGTAGAGCTCGGGCTGACTTACAATGTTGCAGGACATTGCCCGTTACATGGACGATCTCAAGTTCCTCAACGGCACGTGCGGTCCTGTGCGGTCTCCAACGACATGGTTAGGGGACCACGAGCTGGATGTTCCTTCTGGAAAGGAATGTGCTACGAAGTCTCAATTGCCGACGTGGGGTTTCTTTACCTTTGTATTCTTTGGGGTTGTTCCAAGACAGCAGGTATTTACTCGTCTGAGTTGCCGCAGACTAGGGCTAATATGACATCGACAGTCAGCCCAGTACAGCCGACGACTATAACTTTGAATACGGAATCTACCCAATGGACAAACCTGCAATGTTGACTGAGAATACCAAAGTATTTTCCCAAAACATCAGGTACGAATTCCCATTCTCATCAAGTGCATGCAATGATGCTTAGTCGACATCTAGGTCAACCCTGGTATTGGAATGAAGTCCGGCTGCGAGACGGATGCTTGACAGTTTCCAGTCAATACGCTGTACCCTACACAATCTTGAGTTTGTAGGACATCTCCGCCCTCGGCCCAATTTTGGAGTCGCACGACCGCAGACTGGCCTCACTTTTCTTGAGCGTTCTCACTTTGAATGTCACCGGTAGATGCTCGTAAAGCCGCGATAGTGGCGAACAACTCGATTTACAACGAAGCTGGTTCTAGCAGCCACAAGGGAAGACTATCCCCATACACTTTACGAAGATTGTCAAAAATGGTGCATTTGCCGCATTGCTCGCGCCGAGATTTGGTTCGAAGCCTGGGGATCGCCTTACGATAATCAAAGAAGATCTCAAGGCGAGATGTTATGGGAGTCTGCACCCAAGCTGAAAGACTTTCAAAGGGCTCAGCTATCAGGACTCCTCGAAGACGGCCTTGAAGATGACCTTGAAGACGACCTCGAAGACGACCAAATCCAGTAAGCCTATTTCCCTTTGGCACCGAGTAACTGCTTTTGTCTAATGCTTTATGGCAGCTACTCGTACGACGCCTGCAGAGATCTTCCCGTATCTCGCTGCCAGCATAAACAGCTCTGTCAAGTTGCTCTCCGCAAAGCTAGGGAGGGCTCATTACTATAATAAGGCCTGAACCTTACCCCGAGCCCTAGCCTTCGGTTTCTGACTCCAGACGCATGGATTCAGGCTTTCCAGGGACGGATAAAACTTTGACTTTGCTGGGAATCGCACCTGTTTGCCGTCTGCTGGGCATTCATGTCATCTACACAAGTCCCATGCACTTCGCAGCTGACGCGGCATGTGAGACTGCTGATAAGTTTATGCAGCTAACTCATATGTCTATGGACATCTTGAGTGTTTACATGCCAGAGCGTCTGCGCCTGCTACCGCCTTGTGCCCAACAAGAAGTGTACGCGGTGCCAGTGTCTGCACAAGGTATGCAAGCAATCCGCACGCATGGTACCCGGAATGTCCCAACCATCACTTCATCCAGGTTGGAGAACATATTGCCCCTCGTGACCACAACTCCCAAACGACGTTTGATGTTCAAACCTACGAGCCTAGGCTGCAGGAACCGAAAGGGCTAGCTGCTCTACCCTGGTTCGATGAACCAATTGCTCCGGTCCAGGAGCAACCTCAAGTCCTTGATGATGATGCGCTGCAGGCTGTTCTGGATGAACCAGTTGCGGGAAAGGTCACAAGATCAGGCCATACCTATAGTAAAAACGGTGTCCAGACAATCGTGGCCTACTGAGTGGCTCCGACTCGGGCGTCGACTTATTGTCTTCTAGGAAGTACAACACCCATCTGCAGTCTACCTTGTCGCCAAGATGGGAGGACGCGACAAACCAACTGCGGAGATTCGTGCGAACCATGGCTGGGAAACGATGGGGTCGGGGTTGGAGGGAGAAAAGCTTGCGTTCTGGAAAAGTTTACCGGTCTACACGCTGTGCGTGGAAAAGGACATAAGACTCACCAGCCATGGGCGAGAAGTTTTTGTCTGCCGTGCCTTTGTATCCGATAGGCACATCAAAGTCTCCTTTACACCAACACATCTGGGGCGAGAAAGCGGTCGAACCGGGCAGTTGTGCATATCCCTCGTGCACTCGGAAAGTAAGGGTGCTATAAGACTTGAAAGACCTGCTTCAAGGCTGCGGCGGCAATGTCGATGAAGCAGTCGCTCAGATTGAGCTCGCTGTCTCTGATGAGTCCAAACATTATGTGAGGACGACGTCCAAGAACATAATGAAGAAAGTGACCGGATCGATGATGATACGGCCAATGCAGAGGAGTTAGCTGCCATGATGGGAGACGAAGAGGTCTATGACTCTGATCAAGAAGACGAAGATGACAGTGAATACACTGATACCAGAGCACTGGCTCTCCCTGACGTCGAATACACAGACAGCTTTGAGAGGAATTTTTACTCAAGCTTTGGAATCTCGAGTAATGAAGTTATCGAACTTCAAACCAGATTCAAATCCCGTTTGACGGCTATCTAACCTTGACAGGCTGAGACGAACGACAGTTCACGTCACGGCCGGTTTATTGCTCTGAAGCGAAGGAAGGATCAATCACTGTTTCCTACCCGATGAATCTACTGGGCCGTGAGGAAGATAACGCTGCCCCTGATTATGAGGTCGATCAACAACAACGGGCCTTCTTCTCAGGGGCTCGTACCAACTGCGTTTGGAATAACAAGGCCGCATCCTGTTCGTTCTACATTCATAAGAATCGTGGCTGGGATCCCGGTTTCGACACGTACGAGCTTCCCTTTCCTTGTTGACATTCGTACGCTGCTAACCAAGATAGTGCGATTCTCGAAAAAGGTGGCCTACTCGCAGCCCTCGAAGATGGTAATCCGGTTCTTGACTGGCTGCTTGCCGACAATGAAGTTATCGAGTCCAAGCCAATGCCCTCGAAGACCCCTCGCAGAGGCACTGCGGAGTCCTCCCTGGAGGGTCTGGTCCAGCTACCGCGACGCGTTCGAAAGTCGGAAAGGGTTCGACGATCTTCTCCCCTCCTTCGTTTGCATTGAATACGACCGCTTCTTCCAAGGGTAGTTACAATACATTTGACCTTCTTCGTTTTGGTTACTTCGTGGCTGACGAGTTTGGGGTAGTCCACCGTCGTTCCGGTAACGTTTCGCGCGCTTCTGACAAGACCGGTTCTCTATTCCGCCGTTCCTTCTACTGGGCCGTGAGGAAGAAGATAACTTCATGATTTGGCGTCCCAAAGGCTTTCGTCTGAACATATTCAGGGTAGGTAAGTTATTACCACTTCTTCTCTCGCAAGCCAGAGCCTAACACCAGAGCAGGCGAGTGCTTATTCTGGCGAACAACCATCAGCCGCGGAAATTTCCAAGTCATCCTCATTCCTGAGGGGAATAGAGCAGCACACATGCAGCAATCCTGCCCCTTGTTCTCGAGCAGGGAACTATACAAGTTGTCCCTGGCAACGCTACGCCCTCTCTCTCCTCTCACGTTTGAGTTCGAACTCATTTTTGGCCGGCCACAAAATTCATGGATGGGCGGACTCCTATCTAGGCCTTGCTCATAAACCTCCGACTACGAGTATGTGATAGCAAGCTAGTGCCGGCGTACTTCAAAGTCGGTTGATTTGCTGCAGGATATTGCAAAGAAACGCCAGTACCGGCTCCCAATTGACTCCATCCTCAGCTTCCTTTACTTCGACTGCTATCACCAGAACATACTCAAGCATGGAACGGCTCGAGCAGGGCTCAGGAGATTGGATTACAAACTATCAAGTGCAAATTTTCTCCTGAAATTGCTGCCATGGTGCTTTGCGGAGATACATGGCAACTCCAGCCCACAGTTCTCACAGCAAATGATCAACCGGTATGGAACGAGTTTAGTTATGAGATGTAGACGTCCATTGTTGTCGATTGGTTCGCGCGAGCCATCCCGTCGTGAAACTGACAGAACAACGCCGTTTCCGACCAAGTTTCGCGCAGTTTTTAAACAAACGCATTTACAAGGGCTAAATGCGCTCTCACCCTGTGACCGACTCCCTGAGGGTTAACCCTTATTGGGACAAAATGATATAGGACGTGTTTCAACCCGCTCGGCCAGATTCCGACACGGGGCATTCGTGCTCAGAATGATGATTTGAATGTCATTACAGCAGTGGTCATTGCGCATGAATCCGTACATTCTTTTCATGGATTCGACGTACAAGACGAACAGATATAAGTTGTCTCTCCCGGATATTGTTGGCTGCACAGAATCAAACAATGCATTCTATTCTTGCTTTGCATTCGTCAGTAATGAGAGGGTCCCACGACCACCCAGTCAGTTACGAGATGGCCTCACCCACCGAGCCCATTGAGGATGAGTTCGATCCTGAACTGTTGACTGCCATCCCAGACAACTCGAAGACGACCATCCCGGAAGGCCGAGCAACACAGAACGAACCAGAACTATCGTACGTCAGAACCCAGAAGGTCCAGGCCAACCGCGCTGTGCCGCCGGCTAGTGAAGAACCAAAGCTCTCCAAGCTGGGCCATCAGGCTCTACTTAACAAAGGCATGGGTGCAGTGCCAATCGGCACCTTTAAGCCAGACCATATCACCGACCCTCACCAGGCTGCAAAAGGGAGACAGGCAATGAAATTCGCACTCCAACCACTCGTCGGCCACAGCGAGGAAGGAACCCTGGCTGGTATACACTGGTCATCGAAACCGGAGTGAACGAATGTATCCCAATCTGAAGGCAGACGCGAACTGGTGGTTCGCAAATTCATCGGGCGACGTCCACTCGTTATCCTGATGGCACTTGAGCCAACATACGTGAAATTCGAAAAATGGCAACTGGTGCCGCCGAATGCTCCGAGACCTGTCACACGAGCCTACATCGACCAGCAAGGGCGATACAACACAGCTCTGTTAGCTCATTCCTTGACACCGTCCTGGAACAGCGACGTGCCTATGTCTTCAGCGATTGTCCAGCTAGACCTTCCTGAACTACCCTCGTTGTTAAGAACACCATGGAGCTATGCGGAACAGTTCAAGATCTCGAGCAAGAGCTATACCCTGGTGTGATCGGTGTGGGCAAATCATTTGTACTCGACGGGACTCTGATCCCGAGGAGGCATGGCATTGGGATCGAGTGCGGGATTCCCATTCAAGACGTTCGTTCAGAACCTCGAAGGCAGTGCTCCACGCCTTGCCGGCACCTAGATGCTCGTTGCTTCAATTTATTTGTGCCAAAGAACATCGCGAGCTTCACCGCTGCGAATAAATGATGTGGGATCCCCACATCTCGAGCAGTGCGAGCAGTCAGGACTCCTTTCCAGGCGCCTCTGCAAGATGATGAGAGTAAGGTGCACAGACGCCGGGTCATGAACTACCAATATGGTGGGTACAAGAGCAGAGACATTACCATCGTCACCACTTACACCGCTCAACTAGTAAGGATTCGCCAGTCTTCGTTCCGAATGTGCAGTTGGGGATCCTCAGTCCAAAAGACGTTCCAAATATGTCAACTACGGACTCGATGCAGGGCAAAGAGTCAAGGCTCGCAGCCTGTACGAAATTCCTTCTTTACCAGGCTTAAGATTGCTTTGAACAGAACATGTAGCTTCTTGTCGCTCTCGAGATATTCTCTTCTTCTCTTTCGTTTTCTAATTGTTATTCCACATTCGCTTATCCTACCACGGTTTGTGGTTGGCATGGGAAAGGTCAACCCCAATTTACTGATGAACGCATACCCGCTTCTCCGACAAAATAAAGTACAGGAAGGTATACAAATTTTACTGCTTGGGTTTGCGTCACTGCCGTCGACCAGGCTTTTTATTGGCACTGAGCGACGCGGAGTATGTGAACGTCTTTAAGAATCTCGTCGGAACTGCGACCTTCTGTCCCACAAGGTATGTGGATTTAATCTACCCTGGTTAGATTCAAGCTAATATGTAACTAGGAATGGCTGTAGCCGGAGGAACGCGCCTGTTCCAATTCGGGGCAAAGCAAATCGCAGGATGCAGTTCGACAACGTGGGCAGAATCAGCTGCAGAAGTACATCAGCGTGCAGAATGGAACATACGCATGTGAAAGGATATGCCAACGGAGTCTGGAACTCCATATTGAACCGGGCTTTTGACCCCGTCGATGGGTTCATCACGCACCCCAGGCCGTGCATATGCAATACGGGGCAGAGATGGGATTCTCCGACTTTTATCCCATGAGAGTGGCCGGAGGGACTCGCCGGTCCTTCCTAATCACCCAATGCAAGTCGTGGGAATGGAAGGCCCAGGACACAGTGGGAACGATGAGCAGACCCGAGCACTACTCGCCATGTTGCAGAGCCCTTTTCCATCACAAAGCCTGCAGTGGTCCCCACAATTCGACAGCAGAACAAGCACTTGAAGCTGGAAAGCTCGAAGACCAGTGACTCGCAAAAACTCCCACTCATAGGCGAGATAAAAACGTCTGGTCAAGTTTTCATACGTCGACAATTCGAGGAAGCCGATGCCGTATTCGACGAATTTTGGGATCGCCTGAAGACAGGCGTACTGTCGTGAAGAGGGACACATCATAGATGAGTGCCCTACCTGTCCTGTCTGTCAAACCTGCCATCAGAAAGGCCGTAAATCCGATTGCCCTGAGAGAAGGAATCGTTGTCAGGAAATAGTTGAAAGCCCTACGCGAAGGCATCGAGGTGCAAGGTCCGTATTTCGACAATTCCTCTACCGCGTGAGTCTCAGGGCTCAAAGACAGGCCATCGAGCTTCTAGGCTCGATGGTTGAAGAAGAGTATAAGCTCCGTCTAGATATGGGTCAACAGGTATTGCTGCACAAGGAGGTGACGATGCCAAAGTGGCCATGGTTTGGGAGGCGGTTGGCCCAGGTGCAGAGATACCTCAGCATGCAGCATGGGACACACACAGTGTGGAAGGAGGAGACGTGAATGGAGTCTGGAACTCCATTTTGAACTGGGCGTTTGACCTAGTCAACGGGTATGGGTATATCTCACGCGCGGTTCTATTTTGAGGGTTTCTAGGACGCCGTCGATCTGTGATGCAACGTCGTTCTCATGTTTTACTGACCGAAAAACTCGGAGGCGATGGGTACATATATGGGCCACTATGCGTGAGCATATAATCAACCTAGAGCTACGATCAACACAACTTGAAGGCAAGAAAAAGTCTCTTTAGATTGACCTCAGGGCCGCACAAACCACTCTGGAAACTGCGCACAACTACTGGCAATGCATACTCGATCTGGAGGAGCCAGGGGCTTTTCGGACTTCACTACCCTGGAGATAGCTGGAGGAGCACGCCGTCACTTTCTAATAACACAATGCAAGTCGGCAGAAGGTGAAGGGTAGCATGTAGTTTGGCCGGATTGGGCAGACCAGCTGCTGAGATACCTCAGCATGCAGCATGGAAACAGGCGCGCCCCTCAACACCCCGCGAATGAAATCCTCGCAATCGGAAGAAGAGTGCGCTTCTTCCGGTACGCTCGTGCCACAAACACAATCAGGTGCTGCCGTCCAGGCAATGGACTGGGCACCATATCACGGAGGCAAGGAGTTCTATCCGCTCGAGCACGGAGCTGCCCGGGTCTAGAGCATCCTAAGACAGATACGCAGCAATCCCTGATGCTTTTAACATCCTGTACTCGCGGGCGGCCTTCATTCTTGCGAGCAGGCTTCGGTCACCACCATGGCCCATCGCTCTTCAGAACGCAAGACTGCGAAGGGCTCAGTCTGTCTCGATCAACAAAACGGATGACACGGTGGTCATTCTTCATGTTGACAATTTATGTATCTATTTATGGTGCTCCTTTCCAGTTGCTGGCATACAGTCTCTGCTCTACCAGGCGGAATTCAGCCGGCAAGGATTAAAGGGAAAGATTGATGGGCCGCATCTTTGATAAGCCTAGCGAGTCCGACTCCTTGAACCGCAGAGAAGCTCAAGATGGCATTATGGGCGCTTGCGGTACTTATCAAGGTTCGATTTGGCATTGGTGTAGCCGCCAGATTGCAATTAAACCCACATGATTCGAATCACCAAAGCAACTCATTGCGGATGAAATCCAGGCAGAGGCCGTGCATCAAAAGCCTATTGACACTGCCTTTGCGTACAAGGCATCAAGCTTACAGAACTCGCCTCCGCGATCAACAGATTTCAATCTGCCCTCGATGACTTACTAATTATACGCCCTTTCCTCGTACGATCACGGGCAGTATGAATGATCATGCCTCATGCTTTGAACAAGCCGCATGCTGTTTTGAGCAATCACTGCACCAACTTTCGGCCTTGGTCCTCGAGTAGTGCTCGAACACTACATGATCCCAGCTCTCTAACCTTGCTGTTGTCTCAATGAATTGTTTGCTTAGCGGCATTGAGCAGAACCTCAATGGGAACAGCCTTCGACCTGTTCGTCGATATTCATCGTTCACGACACCAGGCGAAACTGACTTTTGGACATTGATGGACGTCGACTAATCTATTCCCATAGCAACGAATGGACCGGCTCGCTCATCTTCCCAAAGGTCTGGCACCCGTTTTTGAACAGCAAAGACAGGAAACGCCTGCTGTTTTCCCGCAACCCTGCAATCAATTTCTCGGCTGATCCGCAGAGCCAAAACCATGTCGCATTCCATTCGAATACGAGGTGGGTAGAAAACACTTTGGAAGACGCGCAAAACAAACGCAAACGCGAAGAAAGTCCGGCGCCAGCCGACACCCAACTTTATTTCTAAGGTTGACCTCGGATCGTCAATGCAATGTGCCCACATGCGAAGGAAAGAAAGAGTGTGCAACGCTCAAGGACATCCAGAACGGACTGCAACGCCTCCTCATCAACCAGCGGAGAGGCTTCGGACGCTTCAGTTTGCCCCAGGCCCTCACACCACAATGACCACCCATGAAGGCGGGGTCGGGTGTCATGGTCCTGATGCTACCTGGTATCGATACCACCAGTCCCAATTCATCCTATAAAGAAGGCTGCGGCTGGAATGGCTGGCAACACTCTCGATCTGTCCGCTGTGGTTCAGTGGTATACTCGGTTCGGATAAGCAAGCAATTGAAGACAGTGCAAGCTCTTCCTCAGGGAAGAGAAGGTAAGTACAGTCAAATCTAGCATTCCAAAGCATTTACTGATCAGCATGAAAATACTCTATTATACTGGATCAGCTCACGGAGCTTTCGTCGAGAGATGAATTTTATCCAGCTATGGACGTTGCCTGAGTTTGTCATAAACAGCTCTAAAGAAGTCCGCGATATATTAAACAACATGATAGAAATGCTGATGTCATTGTGTTTTCAAACTCTACCACAAGCTCAACTTTCAATGTTCTTGATTGGTCAGGAACATCTGGCAACCACAGGCCTGAGTGTCACCACACCCCTCGTTCAAGGGGTTGTGCTCAGTGGAATTGAAAAGGAGGCATATCGGCTTCAACTCTTAGCCTCAGTCGACCCTGAAATTCGGGCCTTTCCTCAAGCCAGAAAGCGGAATCTTCTATGTCTCCCAGCTTTCCACCACCGAATCCCTTGACGACAGTGTTGGAGATTGGCAGAAACTCGGTTTGTGCTCCCTAAAACAATTCCTTGGTAATCAGCCCCGTTCTCAAAGATGCTGACCGGCCAGGACAAGTCGCACGATACATGGACGATCATCGCATCGTTTCCGGTTCTATTCAACCCACAAACGAACAAGGCTTCTTATGAGAGCTTCGCTGACCTTCCAGCTGTCAGACCCAGTTTGGCACAACCAAGTAGCATCTAGTACCCTGCCATCCACACTGCTCCGGGGACAGTGGCGTGTCCAACGCTGCGCGACTAAGAAATGATCATCATGTTCGTTTCATTCAGGTTGAATGCCGAAATGAGGTCTTCGAACCTAGAGTGAGGTTGCCTAGCTGTACCGCGAGCCCTGGTCGAGGTCAAATGGATGGTAATGGAAAGCCCTCACTCGATCATGGGCAAGGACTTATGGACCTATACCAGGAACTGGATACCAGCGAGGCAGGTCTTGGTAACATCAAAGTCCTCGAATCTTGCTCAGTACAGCCGAACTATCTCTATTGGGTTTACCTGCAGCCAAGAGAATACAAATGTAATGTTTGAGCTGCAGCTCTCAAGCAATGATGAAAAACAAAAGATACAGCCGCATTGACCGCATTGGTCAACAGCATCCCCGTACAGACGGTTTTCGGCTCATCGACCGTGACTGGAGGACGCACTATCTGAATACTGTTCAGTCGTGTGAGCGAACTCATCTCTGCCGGGATTCCACAGTTGCCCTTGCACACCAACTTCGTCAACAGTTTTATAATATTGCTCGTGGAATTGACAGCAATAGTCAAGATACCTCATGGCACTAAGGGGTGAAAAGTCCACATGTCGCGGAATTCATGGAGTTCCTTCTCACAATCAGACACCCCAGATTGGCCCAAACCGACCAAGCGCCAATGGTGAAACCCCTCTCATGAAAGCCGTGCGCTCCCGATGCCTGTATGGTGAGATGGCTGATAGATATCGGTGTTGATTGATCTATGAGTATCTGACAGACAATACGTCCCAATGCTGGCTTCATAAAGGGGAATGGCCAAGGCCCTTCCTGGAATAATCACGGAACTGTCAGTTACGACGGATGATGAGGAAGCTATTAGCGCCCATGCGTCACTCACTAGATGGCGTGTTAGGGACGAAAAGTTGGTGATAAACATGAAGACACCGGCGGGACTACTGCAGCGCACCTGGCTGCTGAGCTTCAAACCGATGAGAGTATTACGATGTTGGAGATACTACTCCCTCATGCCAAGATCAACTCCGGTCATCAAAAAGCAGTGGGCACGCTTCTCCATGCCTCAGTGGGCAGTGAGCACTATCGACTTTACCGGGCGGCAGAGGAATTCGACGATGCAACCTGGAAGGATTTTCGTGCCGGGAGCTGGGAGCTGCGTTGTGCGGTGCTTGCCAGTGCGGATGCCATCGTATGCACTTTACATGCAGCTCGTGAGACGGCCATACGTGGTAATGTGCAGGCCCGAGCCATCTTGGTCGACAAGGCTGCTCGAGCCACTGAGCGTGACCTGTGGCCTGCATTGGCCTTCTTCAACCTCAATGCATTTGTCCTCATTTGTGATCACCATCAGCTCCGTCCCCTCTCGTAGTCTTATCCCACAGGCAGAACCCTCTTTCCGGACAACTCACTCAGAATGAGTTTGACATGCTGTATGTCACAGCAAATACCGGTAAAGCTATGCACCTCAGTTCGTTCCGTCTCCTGCAGTTCTAATGGTGAGAAGAATACGAATTCCCCCATGGGCCATTTGCGGGCATCCGCAAGTCACCCAATGTAGCAGTCGACGTGGAAAACGCCATGGTGCCCAGAATTGTCGTTGAGAGCGGGTGGAGTGAATCCCTCGACGAACTTCGTGAAAACGCAGGAGAATGGCTCGTGAGAGGAAATGGCGCAGGCCAAGCTGCCATCATCATAAAATGGACACCCAGCCGGACAACCCGCCGTGTCCGCGAACCAGCTCCGGATGTCACTATTCTCTCGGCTCCACCGGAATGGTCTGCATGCCACCATGCTCACGGAGCAGCACCGAATGCAGAGCGCGTGGCACAGATGGTCAGTTCGGTCTTCTACAATGGCGAGCTGCAGACGAGTCGTGACACTGCCGATCTGACCCGTGAGCTAGCCCGCCAGATCAACCTGTACAATCGTCGCACGCTTAGCCGCTCGGGCCAAATGCTATTCCTCGTGAAGGACAGCATCGACCACCACGACGCCCAACAACTTTCTCGTCTAGCCCATCGCAGTGTCGCTGCTGCGCTTGTGATTCGCCTGCTTTCCCAACAAGTCGCCGAGCCGACAATACTTGTTACACCATAGCAGGCGTCATTGCAACGCGACCTCCTTCTTCTTATATTGCCTCGATAGTCTTCTTTGCTAAGGAATGTGGAGAAGGAGAAACAGGATTCCTCCTAGTGTCATGGGCGTGACGAAACTTGGACATGGCATTGAGAATCGATTGATGAACCTGACGAAGCAATGACCGTTTCACATTTCATCCAGAAAATCCACAAACTGGTTTGACAAATACGGAAATCCAAGTACGCACACTCGTCATCTTGTACCCCAAACAGCAGCCTGGAATACACCGTGTGGCAGTTTCCATGGCCGTTGCCCCCAAGCCACGTGGTCCCGAACAGCGAGGTTTCCTATCGTCCCGACCCAGGTATGGCGGTGATTTCGCCTAGTAGAATGTCACCTACCTCTCTCTGTACGACAGTCTACATACATTTACAAGCAGTAACGAATCAATCAATATCTTCATATTCCATCATATTATTCTACAGTACCTACTACAAGCCGAACTGGATAACTCATGTGCTCTTGGTGGCTTCGCCCTCAGGCAGCCGGCTTGTCGTCGATCCGATAGGGCTACTTAGGGTTCTTTGAAGGTTCTTCTCCTGCAGCTGATTGGATATCATCTGGTGAGGCAAGCTCACTTCGAAAACGGTAGATATGTCCTAGGTATGAGACACTGTGGTATTTGCCATACGTATATGACATGATATTGAACCAGACTCCTTTCAGGCGAGCTCGACATGCGGATTAAGCGAGGAAAGGGCCGAATAAGTTTATAGCTCCGTATCAGTTCGTTTAAGCCAGCTTCCAACGTTAGAATTCATATTGAATTATGAATATGGAGAAATTTTGTTCAGCTCTTTGAGACAGTATCAATCAAAAGTTCATATCATCATAAACAAGCCAGTTGTTCCCATCTACTCCCAAACGCCCTCAATGCTAATCATGTAGTGAAATCGAAATCATGGCAGTACATCCTTGAGGATATCCTTCTGCGCGGCCGTCAGACTGGCCGGGAACTTGACGTTCACGCGGACAACGAGATCGCCCCGCTCACTCGGTTTCTTCGAGATTGTCATGCCCAGGCCGGGGAACTTTTCTTCGTAGCCGGGTGGTGTGGGACCAGGCTTGGAGACACGGATGGATTTGCCGTCGATGGTGCGTACGATACGTTCCCAGCCTGTCAGGGCTTCCTTGAGAGAGAGCTCGACTGTTGTGATGAGGTTGTCGCCCTGGCGTTTGAAATCGGGGTGCGGTTTCTATTCGGCCGTTAGCACTATCCGGACTTGGACTTTTGAGTGACGGAATTGTGCAGACTTACCTCTGTAACGATGAGATGGACATCCTGGCGTCCGCCCTCTTCCTGGTCTCCGACACCGCGGTACTTGATCTTCGAGCCCGTCCGCAGACCAGGTTTAATATTGGCCTCCAATGTCACGTCCTGGACGGTCCGCTTCCCGCTCGCATCGAACGTCTTGCTCTTCACTGTCACCTTCTTCGTCGTTCCCTTGAAAATCTCATCCAACGTCAGCGGTAGCTCCTTCTCGACGACCGTCGGCTCGGGCGTTGGCGCCCGGTTCGCCTGCTGGAATCCTTGAGCTCCCGCACCGCCAGCTCCAGCACCAGCGCCGCGACTCGTCCTGAACCCACGAGCACCACCACCGCCACCACCTAGCCCGCCGAGGATATTGAACAGGTCATCATCGTCCATTCCACCGCCCATACCGCCCCCGCTCGCCTTCGCAAAGTTTCGGAAGATATCATCCGCCGAGCTGAAGCGGAACCCGCCCCCGCCGCCCGGACCAGTCGAGAAATGGAACGTGCGGGTTCCCCCGCCGCCGGGCATCCCGCCAAAGGCGAATCCGCCAGGCATGCCGCCCTCGAAGCCTTCGAATCCGCCTGCACCGGGGGCGCCACCGGGGCCGGGTGCCGGGCCCCCGCGCAATAGAAAATCGAGGCCGTATTGATCGTAGACTTTACGTTTCTCGGGATCGGAGAGGACTTCGTAGGCTTGAGAGACCTCTGCCTTTTGTTAGCACGGCTCACCCTCCTGATTACAGAAGCCTTGTGATCGGCAGCAACTTACCCTTKAATTTCTCCGCCGACTTGGGATCATCTTTGTTCTTGTCGGGGTGATATTTCAAAGCGGCTTTCCGGTAGGCCTTTTTGATGTCGTCCTGTGAGGCATCGGGTTTGATGCCTAGGGCGTCGTATAGTTTTGTTTCCGCCACCATTGCGTATTGCCTATGTTCAGTGTGCCGTGTGTTATCGGCAAATTGTTGGTCGTAGACAAGAGAACAATGATAATATAAACTATTAGACCGGGGAAATAATCAGGCCACAATGGCACCCGTCATGCGATAGTGCGTATTGCGTTGTGGAGGAGAAGATTGGTGTAGGGTGAAGGGCAATCTCGAATGACGTAGAAGGTTCCTGTTGGCGATAAGACGAGGCTTGTAGTTTGTTGCAGTTGCACGGGTTGTCGTTGGGCCACGGCGAACAGTTCAATGGTGAGTTATGAATACATGCACAGTACAAAGCCACCCTAATACTTTTGCTTGAGAGAACTGTTGAGAGGAAGAGGAGGGAGAGCAGTGGTTGGGCTGATGGCCGGTTATCTTGAATCGCGGAGGGAGTGACGTGTGACGTTGATGGTCCAGTTCCCCGCCTGAGGCATAGAAAGTTCGAGAAGCTTCGATTGGTCAATGTATGATATCAAGTCGGTTTCAGGGAACGTCAATCTCTTGTAGCAATAGTAGCAATGGAGTATTACCTTGTTAAGCCATGTATTCTAAATATATCGACTGTCAAATGCTTGTTGCAGTTCAAGGAACCAGATCCTGGCGGAATTGCCTATTGCGGGGTAGATAAAGCACCATATATCCACGAAGTAACTATAAGTACTCAGTATCTACCTCAGGTAAGTCCTATCAACATGCCTTGTAACATCCACTTCTTTCTCCACAAGTCGCCAATCTTTGATCAAAGCGGTCCCGTTGGCCACGCTCTGGATCTGCTCATCGGTACAACTATTCTGCAATGCCAGGATATAACATGTCGGCTCTGGACTCTCGGGTACCTCGTTCTTGATCTCCCACGTCGACGACGGCCCCTCGCTCGCGTAGGTGGCATTCTCCAGCAGTGACACCTCCCCCGTCGCAATGTCACGGTTAAACAAAGCTCTGTGGAAGATCTCATACGCTGTCTGCGGTTGATACGCTGGCACCTCATGGCCTGCTTCGAAGACACGCGTGAAAGAAAAGTTGCCGTACTGCCGCACACGGCCCCCAATGTACGACGAGTTGGTCTGGACCGGGGCGTAGCCGGCCGCTTGGAACGAATGCGAATCGGAATAGTTGACACGCAGACTTACCTCTTCGCCGCCGTTCCAGGGACATGCGTAGTCCCGGTCCCCGTAGACGAGCGCCACCTTGATCCCGGAGTCGAGGACATACGCGAGATCTTCGAGGTACCCGTGGACATCGGAGCGCGGGTAATCGCCGGTCGATCCGAAGGCGTTGTATGAGCTGTCCACAGAGACGGAGAAGTTGACGGGCACCCCCAGCGCGGCTTGCACCCAGTTCTGGTTCAGGAAGCCTTGGAAGTAGGGTGGCGGAAATGGATCTGGTTCAAAGTGCGCGATATCGTAGTAGCCGCGGCCGGAGAAGAGTGGGTAGGGACCTTCCACCTGGTTGCTGCAGTAGTCGTTCGCTTTTCGACAGGCCGTGTTGACCGTCTCGTTGCGCCCGGACATGGAGGGATCTCCCTCGGCCGCTAGCTGACGGCACTCAACTATCAAATCCTTGCAGCCACCAGGCTTACTCCACGAATTCATTCCCCTTTCGTAGACGGTTTTGTTGATCGCCTCGATGCCGTAGGTATTGTTGTACGCCATATCCAGGTAGAACGGAGCTTGCGTCAAGAGATCTACGCACCCATTGATAATGCCCAGAGTGTCCAGGTGAATATAATGATACTCATCTGGTAATATCCCCCGCTCAATCTTCTCATTCTGCTCTTGAAAGAACGCAGTTGACGACGGCCCGTACCGCCCACCATAAGACTCGGTCCAGATACTCACTCGGTCATCATGCGGCTTGTACTCGGGGAATTCGGAGAACCACGTCTGCGCAAAGTGCCAAAGCGACCGTGCCGCATTCTCCGTCGTATTCGCCGTAGTCGTCCGATTCATACTGGGAAACGTGCCCACATACAATGTATTGTTCTGCTCTGGCACTTTACCCTCCGGGAATGCCGATACATTCCACGCGGCGGTGAGCTGGTCATAGGTCCCGTTCGTAGGGGCATCATAGCTGAACCCAACCTGGTTCGGCTGGTCAATGTACAGCATGTTGACGTAGTTATTCCACGACCAGGGGTTGATCTCCGTTGAGTTGGAGTCGGCGTTCACAAGACACGGGCCATTTTCCTGCAGTAATCCGATCATGGACGAGCTGCCGGGCCCGCCGTTCATCCAGATGGCCAGCGGTGCATTAACTGGATCATTGCGCGACTCGAAGAACCAGAAGAAAGTGTTGATGGGGTATTGCTGGTCGACATCAACGTCGTTCAGCGTGCCGGGAGGCAGATGCACATAGCCGGAGTACGATTTGACTCCCGGGGTGGTTTCACAAATACCAGGCTAATCAGTTAGCATTTTCTATAGACTAGGTAAAGCATCATACCTCTTTGTACGAAATCTTCACGCCCTCCTGGAGCTTCGAATGCACGACCTTGAGACCCTCTGGCGTGGGAGGGAAATACTGTGCCGACGCGGTCAATGTGAGACCAGCAGTCGCAGATAGAAGGGGTACAAGGAATAGCATGATACCCCTCTCGACCTTTCTGGTTAAACATAGGAATAGAATAAGAACTAGATCAATAATGGCCCAAGGACCGCCTTAAATGAGGATCTGATTGAGTCAACCAGCAACCATGCTGATCCTGACTGATGATTGGTTGGTAAAACACGATGTAACAACAAATTGTGGAGCTGCGATAACAATAACCCCCCAGGCCCCAGCATTAGCACAAACTACTAGTAACATTCCCGAGGTAATAGTCGCTGATCAGCTGTATTCGGCAATCAATATTCCAGTCAGTCCTGGTATTTCATTGTTAATTGAATCTGAGTTATTTGGAGTCGGCGATGTTACAGACTACAGAGGACGCCAAATAGACAAAGGCTCTTGTCCAGGGTTGCAGGCATCCTCTGCCTGTCATTAATATACTGTACATCCCGAGTCAACATACAAACCACTGTATCCCCCAGACGTGACAAGAGAAGATTTACATCATGAGAGATATCTGCAGAACCAATGAGCGTTCCTTTATTCATCCGCCATCCCTGGGAAACATGAGTCCTCGAGGACTCTCCCTTCTCCAAGCAGTCTGCCACAAAGATGATGCGTAGGTGACTTTGGTTACATGATCCCTACCTAGAATTGAGCTAGTGAACCAATTGTTTTAATCGCAAGCATTCATTCAACTCCTTTTGCCTAGCGGAATCTAAAGCTAAGTCTTCGAAAGAAAGAAGCAAATCCAGTCCATCGCTATGCGACCACAAACGCCTCAGCCATCCCAACTCCGAGCCACGACCGAAAGGAAGAATCACAACCCAGAACAAGAAAGTCCATCAGCTCATATGGACATGGAAAAGGTATCTCTGCCGAATCTGCGCAACATCGTACACAATGTACTCATTATACAGCAGACTGCCATTGTCAAACATCGTGGACTTGGACACATCCGGCATCTGCACCCCTGACAGCGTCGGATGGAGGGAACCTGCATCCTTCCATCCCGCCGGGATAGTCTGCCCTTTTCCGAGCGTCGCGATCTTGCCCTGGGCTTTCGCATCCGTTCCTGCGTTGAAGTTGGCCTGAAATTGCTCGAACATGGGGTTTCCAAGCTCGACATCGCAGAGGAGCAGCAGACCCATGTTGGCGCTGTTGTAGGGCACACAGTAGTTTGCCGATTTGCTTGACATGTCGGCGAAATAGACACCCTTGCCGAACATATATCCTGACACGGGGGCCTCGGGTGGTGCAATGCGAAGACCCTGGCTGAGGATACCACCGAAATTGGTACTGCGGGATCCGTGCCACAGTAGACGGCGGTTGCTGTTGGCTCGGTTCGAATAACAAAAAGACTTGAATCGATCCTCTTCCCCTTTGCGCTCAATGCGGAAGATGTTGATGACCTATTTGCTGTGAGTATCCTGAAGCTTTGGTTTTGAGAAGTGATACTCACGCTGTAGCGAAGATGGTGCGTCGAGCCGCGAGAATTGTTCAGGTAGGCTTCGAGTTCACGGAATTCGGCGGAGGAACGGTTCACTACAGGAGTTAGCTTTTGTCCGAAGAGGAGAAGAGGATGCGGCAGTCTTACATGGAGTCATTTCCTGCATGCCCAGGCCCTGGTACTGGCGATCAAGCTGGTTCATCATCTCGGCATCCCGAGACTCTTTCATGATTTCGTTGGCAACACCCATATCGGTCAGTGCTTCCAGCAGATCAACCTCGGTCTTGATCTGCTGATCTGTACCCAGAACAGGAGGCCGATTGCGACCGAACACGTGCGGGATGGTGGTGAAGTAACGATTGCTGAGATCCTGCGCAGCATCCTGGAACGTAGTGTTGTATCTCGAACTCGCCAGGGCAGGATTGGTGACGAGTTCGGACAGATCTTTCAGAATCTGGAATCCGGTCGTCAAGGTCCGCTTGCTCAGCTTGCCCAAAGGCAGCTTTTGCGCGTCGTACGACATGGACGCCATCGTGGACAGGAAGTGCTGCTGGTTAAAGATAAAGGACAAAAGCTTCTGCACTGCCTGAGGCAGGGTACTCTCGACTGCTTTCTTATCTTCCGTTTTGTCAACATCCGTCTTGTCCGCGTTGTCGTCTTCATCGTCCGACTCTTCATAGTTACGCTCGATGAAGGTGTACTTGTTCGATTTAGGCGTGCTCAGCCGATCCTCCCACTTCAGACCCGTCTTGTCTTTGAACTTCTTCTCAAACTCGGCCTTTGCTCTCTGCAACTGGCCATCACCCAGCAGTGCGTACGATCCAAACTCCCCGACACGGCCCCATCGCGTCCACGTCTTGTAGGTTGTCCCGGAGGTATCAACCAACAGCTGAATCCGGTAGAACTTGTTATTGTTATTCGCGGAATTCGTCTGGTTCAGCGTCGCATCCCAGATCAGCCCGGAGTCTTCAATAAAGACCGTCCCTATGCCAAT